CCCAAATCCCTAGCATGAAGAGGCAACTTACAACAATCCAAGAAACTCCACGACGACGAGGTAATACATTCGTGTTATTCAACTGGAGCGCAACTGGGTTTCTCTTGATCCCATTCTCTCCAATACCACCTACCACTTCTATCGAGTAGCAATCTCTCGGAAGTTCCAACCATGTCTGTTCCTACGAAATACATATTGGTATCTTTACCAACGTCGATCTCTCAATCCAGCGACAAAGAAGAAGCTTTAACAGCTCTCCGGTCCACAATCTCCGCCGATAATGGAACTACGATACCATTCAAGATCCCTGAATTCAAAATCGGTACACTAGATGCATTGGTTGGGCAAGCAGATGATCTCGCGAAGTTGGAAAGCGCTTGTCAAGGTGTTGTAGCAAAAGTTGGGGAATCTCTTCGCAATTTATTGGAAGGAGATGAGAGCAAGATTGAACAACAGAAGACTGTAAATGACAGTGAGTCTGATGATTTGCGAGCTTGTGATTACGATTATGGGCTAATAGATTGATTATAGAACCCGCGGATCAATACCTACGTACTTTCTCATGGAACAAAGTCAAATATCGTGCCGACAAACCACTCGCTGAGTTAATCGATTCGTTACAAAAGGTTGTTATTGTTTTACAAGGAGAGTTGAAGCATTGCTGATGAGATATAGGAACTCGTTAGTATCGATAATGATGTTAAGGGCAAAATGAACCAATATAACCAAGTCAAGACGAATCTTACAACTTTACAACGGAAACAAACGTAAGAGCTCGGCATCTGAGAATAAGGCAAAAGGCTAACAATGCGAAGGGGAAATCTTTCTACGAAATCCCTTACTCCAGTCGTCGATCCCAAATTACTGGTACAAGACTCTGAATACCTCGAAACTCACCTTGTCGTGGTTCCAACCAACGTCAAGAAGGATTTCCTCAAGACTTATGAAACCATATCGCCCATGGTTGTCCCAAGATCCTCCGTGGAAGTGACCCATGACGATGAGTTCACATTATTTGCGGTCACAACATTCAAAAAGCACAGCGCAGATTTCCAACACAAATGTAGAGAGAATAAATGGACACCTCGTGATTACAAATACGTAGAGGGTGGAAAGGAGGTGGAAAGAAAAGAGGCCGAGAAAGTAGAGAAGGATGAGCGCAAGGTATGGGGTGAAGCTCTAAGACTTGGTAGAACTGGTTGGAGTGAAGCTGTTATGATATGGATACATGCCTTAACTTTGAGAGTGTTTGTTGAGACAGTCCTGAGATATGGATTACCCCTGGATTTCGTCTGTGGTTTGGTTAAGGTATGCGCATTGAGCCCAAGTTTTGTCAAGTTTTACTAATTCTTTCCAGTCAAACCCCAAAGGAGCCAAGAAAGCGAAAGCGGCACTCGATTCGACATATGGGTACCTCGGAGGTAATGCCTTCGGTCGAGACAAGAAAGGAAAGGCTTTGAAAGATGATTCGGCATTATCGTCCGAAATAGCTGCAGCGGGCGTTGGTGGAGGAGAAGGCAACGAGTACACGGCCTATGTCTATTACGAATTCGAAATCATATAGATAGTATTGGAGGGATTATGAGAATATGGCGATTGAAAGTTGGCGCATGGCAACGGGGACATATTTGTTGAAGCATGCATTTGTATTATTGTATCGTAGTAAGAGATATCAACAAAGCAATTGTTTTCAGATCGATCAATATTTTATTCATTGAATTCTATAATGTCTAGCATTTTTGATGAAATAATCCTTTTCAATCGCTCGAATTGTCTCTCCCAAGGTATCTAAATCTACAATTTCAACAACTTCTCCTTCTCCAAATATTCCACAATCTTCTGCACACACTCCTCCACACTCAGCTTATCCGTCCTTAGATGAATCTCTGCCTTCTCGGGCTCCTCATATGGCGCACTGATACCAGTGAAATCCTTGATCTCACCCGCTCTAGCCTTCTTGTACAATCCCTTTGGATCTCTCTTCTCTGCCTCCTCAACAGGAATATCGATGAAAACCTCAATGAAAGGAATAGCGTCATCCCCATTGGCGGCCTTTTCATGCAATTCCCTCGCAACAGCTCGATCTGCCTTGTAAGGAGAGATAAACGATGTTAAAGCGATGGTACAACTATCTGCGAACAACTTTGCGACTTCGGCAATACGACGAATGTTTTCGTTGCGGGACTTCTCGTCGAATCCGAGATCTTTGTTGAGTCCAAAGCGGACATTGTCGCCGTCGAGACGATATGCGGCATGTCCGAGATGGAGTAGGTGTTGCTCGAGAGCTGTGGCAATGGTGGATTTTCCAGAGGCAGAAAGCCCGGTAAACCAGATTGTGAAGCCGCGTTGTTTGCGAAGGGTGGTGCGCTCAGCGCGGGTGAGTGAGGGGTGCCAAGTGATATTTCTGAGGGGGGTTAGTATTATTTATCTTTGGTTAATTCTGCTTCCCATTGGAACTCAGGGTAAGGATAAAATTAAAAGATTAAGCGCAAACAGGGAGAACATACGTAGACATTTTGAAGATTTGTATGAGAAAATTGAGAGTATTTTTTTGGAAAAAGTTGTGACTAGGTATTAAAGAAATAAAGAGAAAGAGCAATCACGCAATCACGCAATCGAAATTCAATGGACTGCCATCGTTATCAAGCCGAATGTCTCCCCTTATTAACCCGCTACTGATGCACTATAAAATCTGCCCCGCACTACACATAAAGTTGGCAAACGCGTAATATGTTTCTGAATGGTGGGGAATTCAGGATCACGTGGGAATTGTTTTGCGAGCATCTTTCAGGGGAAGTAATTTATCTCCTGCATTTGTTACATGCTGATATGGCTAGACGCTGGGGAGATAAACAGTTTCGTGCAAGATATGGAAGTTTGGAGATTGGAAGTTGGTACTGATATAAAATAAGGCCATGAGTCTAATATCTTTCTGTATAAGCAAGGTTGCTAGGTAAATCTACAAGTAAAATCTAGACCTCGCGCTTCTTGTCTAATCATATATACGTCTAGAACACTGAATGCGCATTCTTTCTCTGTACTTGATAAAGTTGGTCCCCTCCGACCTTCGACGAAGGAGACGTCCTCTATAACATTCTATGAGACCGGGTATATTCTAGCCATCATCTGATAGTCAATTAGCATCAATCATTAAATCATCTTAGCTGTAAAACTTACCTTAGCCTGTCTGGGTTCAATAAACAATGCATTTGCCTCACACAAGACTTTTGGTTTCTCTCCTTCCCCAACTAAAGTCTCAATTCTTCCTTCCACCCAAGCCTTTCTGCCCTCAACTTTCGTAGTCTCCGCCCTCAACACTACAAAGGTTCCCGCTGGTGTTGGAGCTTTATAATTGACTGTCAAAGTAGCCGTCATACCAATCTTATTCGGTAATGCACCAAAACAACAGCGTGCTAGTCCCTCGTCTAACATCGTGGCTAGAAATCCTCCATGTATGATCTTCGGATGTCCACAAAGATCTTCTCCTAGGTATGAGATTGATACAAGAGATTTCCCGCCTGCTTCAGTCCATACATATGGTGGTACTTGAACACGTCCCGGGCCCATCAATGTTCCGCCTGTAAGATTATGTCCTCGCTGTGATTCTGGGATTTTCATATGTGGCCTTGATTCTGTGAATTCGGGTCGGCTTCGTAGCTCCTTCACGATTGGATGATTATTTATATAGGCTTCGACTTCTATAGATTTCGCATCGGTTGGTGTGTATAATTTAAGGGACTCCTCATCAGATGGGGGATCAAGTATGGCATTGGCGGCTTTGAAGGCTGGATATGCAGCTATTGAGAAGCCTACAGATGTGAAGACAATAGCGATTCCAAAGAAAGTGAGAGTTCGTAAGAGTAATGAGGGTTGTGGAGGTGGAGGCGGGGGAATAGTAGCTTTGTGAGGTTAGCTAGAGCTCGGAGAGGGGTATTGGGAAGAACTCACTTTCGGCATTGCATAATCGACGAGCTGCGGTAAATGTTCGAGAAGAATTCAAAGGAGATGAGCTCCTGAACGCTGTTCTACGACATTGTACAAGTCCTGAACTGCGAGTTACAGCTCTGTATATACCAGCTCGAGGCTGTAAAATTTGACGAGAGAAAGACATTTCAGATTGTGCTATTTTCAAGCTACGATCTTTGCATGCTGATATATAAGAGAAAAGGGCAAATCTATGGTAAAACTTATTTACACTAAACGCCAACTAATAAAACAATTCGTGCGCGGTGTATTTTCTGATAACTATCGCAATTGATGGAGAAAGCAAGCCGAGGATAATGACTTCCCGGCTGGCCCATAAAAAGTCGGTGATGTGTTCTGCCGAGATCTTATCTTATCTTATCCCATGAGATCAGCTAGGCCTCGCCAGCTAAACAAACTAGACTAGACTAGCATCTTAGGTACGTATTGATATATTTTGTACCTGCTTTAGTATGGATCGATGCTATTATACAAAGGCCTAAACCAGGGGTCATAGTTAGCAACTTCGATGTCATGAATGGGAACGGATATTGTGGTAGAAACTTTCCACATCTTTATTCATTAAACCACCGAACAACGACGTCATCTTCTGGAAGTTCTAGTCATTAATCACTTCAACCTTCAGTTCTATATAATACTGGCTCTGTATCCATACTTTTATAACTCAATACCTAATCATCATCACGTGTATTGGGACATTGACAGCCATAGAAAATTATAGCCAAGGAAATCAAAAGTCAACACCTGTTTTTAAGTGATGCATACCTAATGATCAACAGCCCCTCATTTTATGCAGTTACAGCTACCCCTGTTTGACCTCAACTCATTCACTTATAAGGCAAGAACATCCACCATGAACTGACCTCTCCGTCTGAACATATTCACCTCAACCTCGCAATATTGAATAAACCTGATTTGTACTCCAACCCTTGAGTATCTTCTGCATCTTGCACGAGCACTTTCTCGACCACAAATCCAAAAACATCAAGTCAAACAACACTATCCGTACGTTCATCATGGCAACCGCAGAGACTGTCCAACTTGGCGATATCCATGCCCCAAAAGAAGATAGCATCATTGCCTTCAAGAAAATCGAAACAGAACTCAAGAAGAAAATTCAACATCTCCGCCATGAAACCAATAGTTTGTCTCTCTTCTTTTCTCCTGTCCTCTCTTCCTATACTCTTCCCCAACCCCATTACTAATCCATCCTCCAACAGAACACGAGCCCCAATACTTCGCTCCATCTCCACCTCCCAGATCACACCCTTACCTCCTTCACCTCCTCTTCCCTCACCTCAGTCCGCGTAGCCACTAGTGCCTATGGACTCCACCTTCTCGGCAAAGTCCTCATTCCCGAGACCGAAGATAAATATTTCATGTTCAGAGCTTTCATTCCAGGAGACTCCGACACCGCTACTCTTCATTGTATACACATGGAAGAAACGGATGTTGGAGGTGAGGAGGGAAAATTTTTCAGAGCAATATTTGGGGAGGAGGATGAGTTGAAGTGGTTTGATGAATAGATCTTCAGTGCAGGGGTTATTGATGATTCTGGTTTGACGATAGGCAATCACTGCACATGAACAGGGAAATTAGCAATGGTATCTGAAATCAGGATATTTCAATCAATTAACATACATCCTCAACTTGTGATTTGAAATGGGTATAACTTCTTGAATTTATTTCGAGATATTCATTCTGACTACCTTCAAACATTTTTACAAAACACCCATCACAATTATGTGCGAGTATTTTCCTTGTCCCCATCTCTGATATTACTACTTTATCTTCCCTTTCCATTTCCCGTGCCCATATCCTCATCTCCGTCATCTTTGTCCAGCATAGCCGCATAATCGTCTGCACTGGCGAATGTTGGAAGATTCTTAAGTCTCCTCTTCTTACTTCTGCCAGTCTCTTTCTTCTCTTCTTCTGCTTCAGGACTCTTCGCTCTCTGTAATTCAGCTTCGAATAATGCATCCATATCTAATCCTGCTTCATCATCACTGTCCTTGAGGTCATCTTCTTCTTCTGAGAAAATACCCTCTCCATCATCTTCCTCAGCATCTTGCATATCCTCATCTTCTTCTTCGACGTCGACTTCTTCATCCGATCCCTCAATATCAACACCACCTTCAAAATCATCCTCGGACATGTCAAAGTCATCCATATCCAAATCATCATCGTCAGACTCTGGACCCTCGATATCTGGCTTACTTTCAACCAAAGCTTGCCAAATTTCATCCTCATCTTCATCCTCATCATCTTCTCCATCTTCACCCTTCTTCTTCTCCTTCTTCTTGGATGCCTCCTTCCCCTTACCAATTTGGTTAAAGTATTATGAAGAAGACTTCATCAACTGCAACATCCTCTGCTTTCTTTCTCCAGAATGCTTCCGAGTTGATAGATTGTTGGACCTTAGTACCACGATTGGATACAAGTATACCTTGACTTGCCCCACCAGCAAGAGGTTGCATAAGGGAACTTCCCTTTGGTGCTCCAGCTGCTGCTTTTGCGTTTCTGTAGACAAAACGATCTAAGAAATGGGTTAAGGTGTGAGGAGCAAGATCAGGTTTTGGTGGCATTTTTTCGTCATTAATAAGGCGGTCGACAAATAGAGATACAGATGGATGGAAATGTCTCAAGAAAGGAATCTAATATTATTAGTAAAGCTCCCTCATTCATTGGAACGTAACTCACAATTTCCCATAAACAACTCTTGTCAGCATTGCTATGTTCCGGATCTCTCTTCTTTCCATCATATGTGTCTGTTCTGGGTTTCGATGGGGCTGTTGTAGCTTGAATACCTGCAGTTTCTCTATCCTCTGGCACATCTCGATATACCTCTTCTTCCTCTTCGTCATTTGCTTCAGGAGTATTGAGTAGAGTCTTAAGTCCAGGGAATGTGACTTCTAACTCTCTTAACAAGTAGATGAGACCACAAATGAATGGAGGTTGATGAAGAGTGACAACTTGTAACATTCTCTTCGCAAAAGCCTTTACACGCTTGATATTGACATCTGATTTCAAAGCCCGATAGAGTAAATTTAGGTACAGTGCATGTTTCGAAGAAGTGATTAGACGAGGATCGAGCAAAGATTCGTAGAGAGTTCTGTAGAACCTGTCGACAGCGAGGTGCTTTGTTGTTGATAGTTGCTCAATCAACATCAAAGCTTGAATACTGGTATTGAAGTTGGATGAATGCGTAATTCGGAACAAAGTATCCATATGTTTCTCAAGGCTAAATCTAGTCAGTATTGTCCTCGGCCAATGTAGTTCTTTAAACTTACGTTAAATCATCAGTCTTTGTGAATGGGAATGCACGATTGACACCGGTCAGAACAGCAGAGATCATCTTCTCTGTTGTCTCCTCACTTGCCTGCTTCGCTTCCTCTTCTGCTGTCAACTTTTCCTTTGCCTTCTTTCCCATAGCGCCTCCACCTCCTTGGATCTCTCCTTTCTTATTGAGTTTAGGACCTGTAGGTTTGATAACTTCGGGCTTTTTAAGAAGAGATACGAAAAGGCCAAAGTATATGCTCAAAAGCTTCTTCGCAACAACTTCCTCCTTCGAACTGAGAATAGTTTGATTGAGAGTATTAATGGCGTAATATTTAGCGTGCGAACTCTGTCCAGGTCTCAATATAAGTTCGTTCTCGATTGAGTTGATAATGATCTCTTTCATCGCAGGATGAGAGGTTTGAAGTTGCATCAGGAGATATGATGACCGTGAAGCAATCTTTTTATCTGGATCTCCAAGTTTGTTGACTAAGAGTCGAAGTAAATTGGATTCTTGTTCTGGCTTATCCTTTAATAGTTCGTAGACGTACATAACAGCTCTTGAACGAGCATATTCTACCTCGTCGCTACACCAAACTTCCAGAATCTTGAGCATATCAAAATATGACTCCTTGAGCCAATCTTCATATGCCCATGAAATGAGATGTGCTTTGGTCATGTTTCCTGGTAGGGGTTGTCCGGATTTCCAAACACCAGTATCGCTTTCTTGCAATGTACCGAGAAGTCCAGGTTGTGAAGCAAATGTACGAAGACGTCTATCCACAGGAAGTACGACACCGGCTCCGAGCAAATCCTTCATAGCTCCCAATGCTGTAACGGCTTGTCCTCTACTTCTTTTCTTTGCCAGATCCAATAAACTTTCGAACGATCTTGTAGTATGGACCGGGGATTCTTGAACAACCAAAGTTAAAGCGGAAATTTTATCGGACAATGTACCGGAGGACATAATAGTAGCAAGGAAACGATGTGAAGAAGTCGCAGAAAGATGTTTCGAGGCATATAAAGTACTGTCGGCTTCGAGAAGAGCTTTGGCATATTCGTTTAAGTTATTGATTGACGATCGGTATGGTCCTGTTTCGCTGAAGTCTCCCGCCGGAAGGACGGGGAGTTCTGCTGCATGCCAGTCTGGTCGCGCTTCAAAATTCTATAATCGGTCAGTGGACTCAAAATGAAGGTAAGGAGCTACAAACCAGGCGGTTTTGATCCTTCGTAGATTCTTTGACTTGAATGGCCACGGGTTTCTCTGCTACTTTGGGAGTCTTTAAAGATTCTTTGACTTTGGTCGCGCTTTTCTCTTGAACTTTTGGCGCCTCTTCCGGTTCACTGGATTCTGATTCTGAACTGCAAGGCCTCGTCCCGCCAATCATCATCATCTACCTCCTCATCCTCCTCATCTGCTTCTGCTTCTGAAGCCTGTCCTTCAATTCCAAGACCTGCTACAAATTTGGCAAACTCATTTTTGAAAGTCCTTGTCTGTGGATTAGTTGTTTGGTTTTGCTTCATTCTCGGAATCGGATTGTGCATCGAGTACAAGGTCTAAATCTTCCTCTGTTCCTCCCAATGCCAATATTTCTTGTAACAAAACTTCTTTTTCATTTCCTCCTGATTTTGGCGTTTTATTAACCAGACGATCTTGATCCTCCTTATTGGTGTCGCGCTTTCGCTTTTTATTATTTGGCACCATTTTGTACAATCAAAATAATTCAATTGAAATGATGGTGGTGAGAATATCGGGGGGTGTTCAAATTATTTCTGATCAAAGTTGCGACATTCTTAGAAGTTCTTAATTGGAAAAAAAAGTTTATTTCACCGCCTTTTATTCTGCCAATGACTGACGGGACAAAGATTTTCCGATGCTAGGAAAGCTTCATCCTCCCATATGGTTGTAAGTTGGAACTTTTCATTGGCTTGATATATAATGGCCGATGTGGAACAAAAAGGCTACCCGAAAGATATATATGATAAGAATGAAAATATAGACTTTCTGCCTTTTTCCCATCCTCATAGTTCATTCGAACTTGTTTGTTCTGAACGTAGGACGCAGGACGGGAAGTACACCACGATGCATGTCCCTCCGAAGCATTTCGCGGTTTGGAGGATCTGCAACAAACACTGGGGCTTGTGTCGCCGTGCAGCGATCTTATCGCGGCCTTTTAGGCTTTCATATCTCAAACGCAATCAAATCTTTCTACAATTGTAGGTTCTAATTCATCATGAAGATACCCTTTAATCACGTGGGTATATCATTGATTAATTGATGTGGTAGAAATGATGATAGGCAAGATTATCCAAGTTCTGGATACCTACTGGTGGTATAGCTGCAAGCGCAGATGAAGGTTAAAATTCAAACTAGATATGTTCATCGAACTTGGGAAAACTGATTCGGGATAGATTCTCATGCTAAACTTATTCGAGGGGGGTTTTCTACGTCAGGTGCGTTTTCAAGTCATTCCTTTTCGCTCATAAGGGCATGCTCTCACACAGCATGGCTAGGCTCACACAGGTATCTTTCATAGGTTACGCTAGGAAGAAGAGTACAGGACAAATTAGAAGCACTCATGATAAAACATATGTCAACGTTAGGTTAGCAATCCTGTTCCCCCAGATTGTTTTCGCCATTCATGCTAACATTAATATCTTTTGAAAAGGCGCTTCGAAACTTGCTTTGTCGTCTTTGTCGTCTGAAGAGCTCTGGGCTAAAAGTGGTCGATTGAATTCTAGTCTGAGGTATTTCCATCAAATTGATTCCGTTGTCATGGTTGTAACACTATCAGCTCTTCCGATTGGAAGACCGAAAGGAGGCGAGGTATCTTCTTGCTCCTACACATGAGGAAGAAATCACGGAATTGGTTTCAAACTCGGTCCAATCATACAAAGAACTTCCTGTTCGTTTATACCAGATTAGTTTGTTCAGACCTGTCATCTTTTTTGTTCTTTGCTCATCCATATCCAGCTCGAAAGTATCGTGATGAGCTACGACCGAGGCAAGGACTTCTCCGTTCTCGAGAATTTGTCATGAAAGATCTTTATACGTTTGATTACAATAACACTTCCGCTCTGTCAACTTACGAAAATGTTCGCAAAGCATATCATAATCTTTTCGATGAACTAAAAATTCCATATCTTGTAGCCGAAGCCGATTCAGGAGACATAGGTGGTGACCTCAGTCATGAGTTTCACTTTCCAACTAAGATTGGGGAAGACAATATCATCAGTTGCAGTAAATGCAATTATGTGGCAAATGAGGAGTTAGCAGAAAGTGGGTTGCCAAAATTGAATGAGGCCGAGAGTTTGGAGAACGAGTTTAAAAACCTGAAGAAGGTTGGTGGGTTCTCTCGTGATGGATCTACCCTAATTGTCCACTTGGTTTTATTCTGAAAACGGAGAGGAGTACGATTTGAACACACGTCGATCAAAGACTTGTACCGGACTATGACCCTTCGAGAAAAAATAGGACATTGTGATGTGAATTGTCGCGACTCATCAATGAGGATTTTATTACTCACGAATACATGTCTCAATGAAGCAGATGAATCCATATCACCCATGTGATTAATCTTATGATGGACGGAGTCCCTCTTGAACTTTTCAGAAGCGATTTCAAGGAAACGAGAAGTGCACTTTCATTCTTCTTTGAATAATTACAAGAATTCGTCTTTCGCGCAGGATCCATCTACGGGGCAACCGCTAAATTTGAAGCGCATTACGGAGGTCGATGTTTGTCCCAAATGTCAAGAATCAACGTTGAAAGTCGAAAAGGCCATTGAACTCGGGCATACTTTCCACTTAGGTACACGATATAGTAAACCGATGGAAGCAACTGTTACTGTACCTTCTGGCCTTGTGGAGAAAAATCTCGAAGCTGAAAGAGAATGGAAACTCAGCAAGGAGGAAATGATCAGATCGGGTTTCCTATGGAATGGGATGCCATGGTATTGGTGTGAACGAGAATGATTGGAGCGTTTGCAGAAACCCTAGCTTGACGAAAAGGGTTTGAATGGCCGAGAGTTATGGCTCCTTTCGAAATCGTTGTGGTCCCTGGAAAGGGATTGAAGGAAGATGCATTGCCAGATATCTGATATCTTTCTGCTGCTGCAATGGATCCAGTGGTTATGATCGAGAGGTATCGATTGGCTGAAAATGAAGGATGCCGATTTGATTGGTTATCCGGTCATTGTTTTGCTGGGTAGGAAGTGGAAGGAAGGTCTATGTGAGGTCCAGTGTAGACGATTTGCATGTTAAGGAGGATGTCAGGGTTGATGATTTGAAGAACTTTGTTGGGAAGCTGTTGAATCAGCTTTGAGTCAAAGAAGTGTAGTTACTATAGATTGTGATATATCTCACTAACATGTGTCGACGATCATCAAAGTGCTGATGGAATAACTGCCGGATAAAGTTGTTTTTTTTTCCGACTTTGATTTCTTATGTGCTCATGTTTTAGACGAGTGTCGAAGTTGGGAGGCAATTTGTCAAGGGGCGCGTAACAAGCAACGTTGAGTTATTGTTGAGCAGTCATTTGGACTTATCATTTATGATCTATGTGCATTACATTATTCTTTGAAATAACCTCAATCCACTGGAATAACCCGATCAACGGAATCTAGGTAGCCAGCCGTCTACTTATTCAAGTACCGAATTCCGCACGAGGCTCCCTTTCCTGATTCTCTCCGCGTTCTGAGGATTGGGATTAATGTTGTAGTGAATTTCGAACATCGCAGTTGGAACGAACTCAAAGATACGCGCTTTGCTATACCGCAAGCTATTCACTACTCCGCTATCGCAACATGAATTTATCCTTCACTTCAAAGGATTCGACAGCTGTTTTCTCCATGTACGATCAAATACCATCACCACACTCAACCTTTTTAACGTTCTTCTCATTTTATTTTAGCAGACAAACAATCCTTCCCAAAGCAACAGTTGCGTCGAATTACAAAGTATCCTCACCAGCTCTATCTCTTCAATAAAAATGTCTTCACCTCCACCCAAACCCCACACTCAAAGTTCTGGAACAGTTCAATCAAGGAAAAGAAGCAGGCAAACAAGCATTTCGTGAGGACAGAGTAGAGAAACTGTTTAAAATTCCAGCACCCTGGAAGAGTATCTCGAGGTTACAAAGCAGGTGTAAAAGTAGAAAAGAATCTCGGGATTCGCGGCACCGAAGAATGGAAAGCTGATAGGATGGCCAAAGAGGCCAAGAAAGCCAAGGAGAACGAGTTATTCAAGGCAGCCGGAGAGAGAAAAGTAAAAGAAGCTAGAAGAATCGAGGAAGCGATTGAGACTGCTCATCGTGATGCTGTTATGTTTCATAGGGAATTCGGTGAGTTCTTTTGCAGATATGAGGAGGCTGAATGACAGCTCAAGGGCAATTGGCTTAATTGATTATACTGAATATAGATAAATCGCAAGGAGCCTCGGAAGAGGAATTGAATGAAAACTTTTGGGATGGACATGAACTTTGCAGATATGGAAATGTTTTGGAAATTCATGGGCCCTCGTGCGCAATTGGATAAGGATGGTCAGAGTCAAGGCGGGCTGGAACGTGAGGAAGTGAGTGTCTATCTCGCTTGCTCGAGTTCAATAGGAGAATAGCTAACATTTGATTGATTGATTGATTGATTGATTGATTGAATTTACGTCCACCTTCAGTCTAAGACTATATAGGACGACTAGGCCTTAAGGGCCTAGTAGAGAACTTTTTATTTTACAATAATAGGAATAAACAATTTGGGGAAGTTGCAAAACGAACATTGGGGACCTAAGCCCACTTACTATACGTATAAACTATAGTAAGACAGCTAACATTTGATAGTCTAGATATACGAAGTAATTACCATGATAAACAGCTGAATGTTGGGCTGGAAAGACAAAAGTTTTGCCGATTCAATAATTCAGCGGGTCAGACAACTCGAGGCACGGAGCTACGAATGGAAGTTAACAGAAGACAACTGGGTCGATTGATGGAAGGTAAATTGCTTCGGCCCCCCCAAAAAGAATTCAGGTCAACATGATTAGAGCAATAATGTTTTTGGATGCTTTTCCTGCATTATTACCGTGGGTTGCCAACGACTTCCTACGTCGCTTGTAGGCACTGTGAGAATCCCTCGACCTAATCTTCAAATTTGCAAATATTTCTGTTGAGCTCCTCTCCACTTGCAAATCTCATGCTCATGGCAGGGTTCTTATTCCCTTTGGGGTAGTCAGTTTCGAGTAGTACAACAGAGCTCGTTTCCTTTTTGTGTCGCTACTTGTCTGTATTACTCGCATTGAGAAGTCGATTAGTAGAGCACTTAAGATCCAGTTTTCTTGACAACGCGTAGGCGCTGGTCAATGATTGTTCCGATTTATTCTTGGCTCTGGAGCTTGCCGTTTCAAAGCTCAGAGTGACGTTGATGTTTTGTTTTTCTTGAGATTTCAAACGTTTGAAGGTGAATTAGACATACCGTAACGAGGCATTCCAGGTAAGACCGACGATGAGATTAGACCAATCTCTCTATATCTCCATAAGAAGTTAATTTCGCTCAAGTATTCTGAATAGCTCGAAATATTTCTGTCAGGCCTGCTTGTGCCCGTGTACTTCACTAATCCCTTTAGTCTATCGATTCTTAACTTTCCGTTAAGAACTAGTTTGAATGGCAAAGATTTTCATAGATGTGGAGTTATTCAGTGGTGAGAACTTTATTAAGTTCTAGCAGTTAAAAGGTGGGTATTCTCAAGGGGCATGTTGGTGGAGAGAATTCATACCATAGGATACTTGTTGCACAAATATATGAAATGCCGCTTCTGGATACCTACACTGTATCATTGTTTATGGCACTCAGAAGTGATAAAGTGGAGCCTCTCCAGATCAGAACTCCGCAACATATTTGCAACAAAGGGGTTTAAAAACGTAGAGAAGGAATCATAGTTGATTTCATAAGTATGGTATGTGAAAGCAAGAAGGAATCTTTGTAATAAACAAACAAAAGACTGCGAGTGGTATGTACATCAAAAATATCTTATGGTGCAGCCAGCCCCTTCAATGTTGATGGGAGATCCAAATAATAACAGGATGCGCAAATTACGCCAATTATGTTATATTTAGATGTATGGTGGCATAACTAATTCTGGAAGAAGTCCGCGATGGTTTTAAGAGTGACACAGCATTTCTCAGGGCCGCTTTGAGCAGGTCTGGCAGTTTGATGGCTGTTGACCAGAGCACAAATATTGAGGCTCTCTATGGAGGCATATTTGATGTTGCAGAACATAATGCATTTTCCCCTTCACTGTGGTGATACTTGATAATAATCCAACCAATTCAAATCCGAAAGTTGCTGGGTAAACCAAGCATCATTCATCGAATCCATCTGCATACCTGTATTAAACATGATAATATTATCATTCCCAAGCCCTCCATTGGGGACTCCGGGCACAATAGTTGAATAATCCTGGGAAACTGACCCTTGGGGATTAGCGAAGTCTTGCTCGGCAAGTATTGGATTGCCAGTTATATTTGACTCGAGTGGGTTTCCATTTGATGGATTCGTAATTTCAGCCGATTTTCTTGCTTGAACTTTCTCTTTCAACGTTTCTAAAATGTTTATGGCTCGTTTGGCTGATTGGATCTGCACTTGGTGATGCTCGAGAATCTCAATGCATGAAGTCCATGACGTTTCGAAGCAATGTTCGGTGGACAAACTGGCTTGGATCAGCGGAGATAATTGTGCCGCAAGAAGGATAGTCGCGGCAGCGAATGCAACTGTTATTGTTAGTATATGAGATTTGAGTAAGGTTCCTTGGTTTCCAAGAGCATGGACCTGCTGTCAGATGATAATAAGTTTTTGCAAGAAACTTACAATAAACAGTGTGCCATCCTGAGCTACGATACTCCGTGTTGAGATTTTCGTGTATAGTCTCTACAAGCAAGTGAGCAGATTTCACACATAATGTGCAAACTCCAATGGCGAGATCTTCGTTAGTCCCAGGCTCAGATTTGGCGAGTAGGGCTGACTTTTCCTTGAAGACGGATGCTAAGAGTATGAGTCGTAGGAGTAAGATGCGAACAAGTAAAAATCTCAGAGATAATATTAGATATTGAGTTGAAATTGACGGGCTTTGCTTATTTACCTGCTTCGTAGTACTTTTGACTGTAAAACAACATGAAGTTGGCCAGGTGCGAAAGCGTCGGTCCCAAGTGCAAACGAAGTAACATCCTTGAATATTTGAGGCACACTCTCTCGAAAATCATCGAGTTTCGCATTGATGGTCAGTATACTGGCCAGATCACCTACCGACCAAGGATCGAAAGACTTGGTAGAATCGCTTTCACTCTTGCCACCTTGAAGTACATAAAAGTTGGAAAGTATTTCATCCATAATGTCGAATAACCTGAGTGAGTAGACAAATAAATTCATCCGAGAATGAACTCCAGATGGTTGAGCTCCCGGAACTTGATGGAAATCTGCTGTTAGATATTGGTCATCGATTATCGATGGCTCTGGAACATCGTAGGATCCGGTTCTAATCATAGTCGGTCGACCAAATGTCATGGCCAGCAATCTTTTTGGTAATTAGCCACGGAAGGAGTAAAATTCAAAGAGAACTACAGACCGGTCAAGCAATGTACAACAATGCCATACCCTTCGCTTAATCTCATAACTTAGTTGACTGGTCCCATGCGAGTTGTTTTCCGTGTTAAGACCTAATCCTTGCGCAGTTCGAATGGCTAATCCAACCACATTCCAACATCTATTTGCATGTTCAGTGGATTGTAAATAAACCCCCGTGAGTAGAAACAATTGAACCAAAGATAATTGTAGTGCATCCAATATCTCAAAGTTCAGTAACCTTCTCGAGCGTCGATATAATTCATCTGCATAGCTTGATTTTCGTTGCGGAGGAACGTCCTTACTATATTGACATCCCAAAGCAAAAACGAGATTAAGTGTAGCGTGAAAGATTGTTTCGTTCAAGTCATCTCCGTCTAATCCTTTTCCTGGTGATGATACCCACAATTTCTCGTAAGTGGCATTGAAAGTTTGGAGATCCAGAAGAGGAAATACTGGATGAACGAATTCCCAGTAACAATTTATGAACTCATCAGCCTGTTGACGCTGAGGTAAAATAAAATTTGCAAAATCTTGCTTATAGAGTATTTCTACTTCACCATGTGGTTGAGGTAGATTGTCAATCAGTGGTTTATGCGGTTCATTGATCGGCACTGCTTGATCTAACGCTGCTTGTCGAACTTGAGATACTAATGCAATCGTCGATGATCCTCCGTAAAAAGAATCTTGTGTCTCTGTATCGGAAACCATAGCCAAACCACCAACATTTCCAGGAGAAGCTGCAATCCCTGCAGCTGGACTCGGAGATGAGGTTGATTTACTGACTGATCGAAAGTGAACATTTGGTTTTGGACTACCGATCATTAAAGACTTCCTGAATATCGGCAAATCAGCTGATTGGACACGACTTCATAATGTGGGACAATTGTCTGAGTGTAGACTATGGTTGAAAAAATATCCAACATCTTAGAAGGATCAAAGAGTCAAAATGTTCAGATATTCAGAATGAGTACATTATGCTTCATGGAAATAAAAGTCAAAAAATAACGCCTTGGTTGTTGGGTGAAATCCCGTGCAAAAGGGCCTGGCCGTGCAGCCGGGGAAAATAAGAACAACCCACCCAGTGTTGATAGAAGCTTTAGAGCCTACCGTTGCCTCCTCATAAGAACAACTGTCTTGAACACCTCTTCTTATACACGATGAGCATGAAGGGCGATCGCCGTTGCAAGCCGTCTTTCTTTGACGACAAGAATTGCAAGCTAATTGAGTTCTCCGTCGTTTACGGACAGGTTGTTGTGTTTGCAGTTGGTCCTGATTTTGAGAAACTTCGGGCACATCTTCGGAGAGAGGAATATCCATGAATAGAGATGGAGAAATGGGATTCGTGGAGACAGTAAGAGTGTGGGGGGGGGGGGGGGGGGGGGGGGGGGGGGTGAGAGGTAAGAAGAAAAGTTGATGAGATAATGATGTGCCAAGACTCGGATCACACGTAATAGTTGGTAAAGGGGAGGTGAGATTGTGCTGACAACAGCCCTATATATCAATGATATTCTTGATGTATAAGATGTATGTTATGAGAAATTATGAGATTTTAAATTGTTGATATTCTTCCTTTACTCCGTAGAAAGATGATCCGGGCAATCGGTGAGAATCCCCTGGTTCTTCATGTTATGATGGTCGTGGCCTCAGTCACATGATTTTACGATTCCAGTCGACTCACTTCTTACGTAGTGGAATATATAGAGGATGGAAGATGGAAGGGTCGGTCCGTCATGCTAGAAGAAAAATTATCGATCTAAAACTAATACGGTTAGAGCTACACGGGACCAGTCTTTAGGAATACTCTCTCTAGCTCGATTGTTATTTTGATCTCACCTGGGCATGTTTGAATATTCCCACAAAGAACGACATATTCCAGCCTTTTTCCATAAATGACATAAATGATCCATAGTACTAAATTGAATCACCTCCAGATGTTCAATTGCTCCCATTAAGAGCAAATGTTAGTTCGGCGACCATTTCCCATATACAACACTACCGCTTGTACTGACAGGTCTTCGAGCGGTAAGACCTAGAGACTTCTTGCCATGGTTGACCAATTTCTACTCCTTCATTTACGGTTTGGACATTCACAACCAGATTGGTCTCGCCGATGCTCTCACTTTACCTCTTTTCTGGATGATATTTTTGATGCAATTGAACCACATGAGTCACACCGTGGCGTCTCGAATTCAAGGTAAGCTGACACCGATTGGCTACGTCGTAAGGATGGATGGTGGTGAACGTCCGAGGCGTAGTTCATGATAAGGAATTTATCATCCTTCCATCAGTACATGCTCAACTATCAGGTATTTATATGTCTTCAGTAAGTCCATAAAAGAGTGTCTTTAATCGCAATTGAAACTCCTTTCGAACCTCTTACAATTCCCGTCAATCAATTCAAAACCTCTTAAAGATGTCGTGCCCAGATTGCTTTCGAGGGGGGTTAACCACAACAACCGCAACTGGCAAAGAAACTATGATTCACGGTCTCCCAACTTATGTTGCAGAACCAGAAAATGGGAATGTGCCAAAGGGTATAGTTGTTATCATTACTGATGCTTTTGGTTGGGATTTTGTCAACAACAGAGTAATGGCAGATCGTTATGCCAAAGGAGGCGGATTCTTGGTTTATTGTCCCGACTTTATGGATGGTTCGTTTTCTCCAGCTCCATCTACCTTCTAAGACAACCTGACTTCTCCATAGGCAATGCAATGAATCCTCACGCCATTTCTCTATTTGATAAAATCATGGAACCTGCGTCTTGGTTGACGACAATTTTCTTCAAACCTATATATATTTTTCAAGCTATGACTATCGCAATTCCTTGGAAAACAAAGACCAAAATTCCCATCACCCATCCTAAAGTAGTTTCCTTCTTTCAAGCTCTTCGATCATCCGAACCTCCCTTTCCAACGAACAATCTCAAGATTGGTGTTGCGGGTTTCTGTTGGGGTGGAAAACATACTATACTTCTTGCACAAGACGATTTGTCATCGCGCGTTCAACGACATCAATCGCAAGCCAAGTCTACTACTCCTGAACCATTGATCGATTGTGCATTCACTGCCCATCCTTCTTATATCGAGGTCCCAAACGATATCGAAGCAGTCAGAATTCCACTCAGTGTATCAATCGGAGATAATGATTCAGCCATGAAAGCTCCTCAAATTGATCAGATGAAGGAAATACTTCAGGTGAAGCACAAGCGTAATTCTGAAGTCAGTATTCTTCAAGGTGCAAAGCATGGATTTGCTATTCGAACACATCCTGACGATAAGGATGAGTTGGAATGTGCAAATAAGGCGGAGGCTCAGGCTATTGATTGGTTCAACAGATGGTTTGCTTGACAATTATTATCGTCGAAGGTGTTGAAGTGCGATTCTTCCGTACTCAACGCGTCCTGTCGTTACGTTTCCTCGTTACTCAAATGTTTGCGTGCTACTTTCCCCCATCAGACATTCCCCGACATTACAATACTTCAATACATTCACGTGTTATCTCCAGTGCACTCATGATTCTATGCCTCAAATTATCTACATTTGCTTTATTCCTCTTTTCAATGAACATAACAATCGAAGGTCGAAGGTTCTGTTCCTATCTACGAGTGAAGATCATAATTGCAAGATATGGTTGGATATATCCTTCTAATTTCGGGAATATCAATAAGGCTCGTGGCTTAAAGAAAGGTAGTTACCTGGTACGCATTCGATCCGCCCTTGAGACCTGCATAGTTAATGAGGTCAAGTTGCTGCCGAAACATCGATTCTCACGTTAGTATCAAGTGCCTTTCCAGAGAAAAGGTCGGTCAGCACAGTCATCCAGATTGAACTTATGTCGAGCATCCACAAGAAGCATTTCTAGGTGAGATTAATTTGACAAATGAATGTATGGTTGATTCTCTAAAAACTATTTCTATCTGGCCTATAAGTAGGCATTGAAAAAAGAATTTGGCTCTTTCCTTCTACTGGTGGATTCCTTAGACCTTACTCGACCACAACTTCCGAATCATGGTACTTTCCGAGTCTCAACAACTTCTTTGCATTTGCCCTTCCAACATCCTCATATGCTTTTCGGCCACCAAGCGCCTTCTTGATGTTCTCCGCATCACCATCCCACCATCCACATCCATTCTCAATTGTCTCATATGGATAATCAACACTGAATAGCAATCTCTCGGGACCTAAGTACTCACAAACATACTTGAGAGTAGGGGTCGAGAAATGACCGGAGGCAGTGATCCAGATGTTTGTCTTGAAATAATCAACGACAGTCTTCTTCCAAGGAATGTCTCCATTTTTCTCGGCGAGAGGCTTTTCGATGTCCTCAAACCAATGATTGATTCTCCAAAAATCGAAAGGAATATGCTCGCCCAAGTGACCAATGATGAGTTTGAGTTTTGGGAAACGATCAAAGACACCGTTACTGATAAGTCCCAAGACATGAAGGGAAACGGCATTAGCGAAACTAAGTGGTGGGCCAATGTGATATTTGCGTTGAGCAAATTGTTTCTCATACATGGATCCAGTTGGTGCGGCAGGATGAATGTAGAGTGGAACATCAAGCTCTACGCACTTCTTCCAGAAAACATCGTAAGCAGGTTGATCGTAGTAGAGGTAGGTCTCTCCATCAGGACCAGCATGTTGAAAATCATTGACGAGAGCACCGTGAAATCCAAATTCCTTGACACATCGTTCCAACTCTGCGGCAGCTTGCTCGGGGTTGTGCATTGAAAGGCACGCGAAAGCTCCAAGTCGATCTCGGTGGCCTTTGATTTCATTGGCGATGTAGTTGTTGCATTCAGTGGCATGTTTCTCGGCCTTAGTTGGGTCTATGATTCCTTGAATACCTGGAACGGTCAAAGAAACGATGGTGTAACCAATTCCATTCGCATCAGAGACCTTGACACGTTCACCAGTGATGGATTTGATTTGGCGCATGTAACGATCGAGGTCCTTTGGGGCAATATACATGGCAGCCTGGTCACGAGATTGATCCGCCAAGTTGGGGATTTCGTAGGCTTCTTCGAGGGAGACTTTTCCGAGCATGTTGATGGTAATTCTGGTGTTTTTCAACAGGAGATAATTGAGGTTTTTGAGTGAGCTTGATTGATGTGATAATCAGATCTTTGAGATTATTGTTTGATAATGATGGGAATGAAAATGGGAGGCCTATTGAGCTCTTATATAGATGTCGACAAGATTCAACTTCATCTACCTTGTCAATGGTATACATCATGTCATTGACCATATTTCACTACTTCCGAAGCTTTACGTTGACGCACGCAAGTCTGGGTCGTCGGATTCACTAGGACCGACGCCACAAATCCGTAGTCGAAATGATTTACTATCCAGATCGGCGCTCGCACTGAGAAATTTCCGATGTATGATACTGAAGGCATTGTTAGCTCATGGTAATTCTTGCATTGTGTGATGTTGAACTCGCCATCTCTTGTTTCAAGGAGTTATGTTTCTTGGCTCATCGGGGAGTTAATAACTCACGAGAAAAGTGGGTCGGAATACAACTTTTATCTGTCAATCCAAACACTCTTAGTGTCTCAAGAAACGGTATGAGTATGAGCAGCTCAAACTTAATCGAATTCTATCGAAAGGATGTGCGTGCTCGATGATGCCGACTTGCTCGGTGGGCCATGATTGACGGGAACAACGGTATGTTTCAATAACTTTGGGCCGATTATCTTCCGTATTTCACTAGTACCACCCGGATATTCTCAAAGTACAGTCAGAGCAGACACATTTTTACGGAGTAGCGGCGTATTACAAATTTCAATTTTAAGATTTCTGGATCATGACTCGACATTGAGCGAGTAAATCAATGAGAAGTTCCAAGAAATCTACATCTGATGCTGACATAATATTATACATTGATTACGGGGAAATACCAAACTCAAACAGGTGAATCCAGGCCAACTTAAAGATGAATACGATCGGTTACTATCAAATAATCGCTAAGAATCGGCTTTATAACTGAAAACCTCATCTCCTGCTTTGACACGCCTATTGGTGACGGACTTTGTGGTACAGTCGGCCTGCGAGATTGCTCATACACATGACACAACCTCCCTACTCCAATGAAGAGTAGTATTTTCACATAAACGAACTTAGTTTTCATAGTTTTGCAAGGTAATCTTGTTCAGAAGAAGTTGCTCTAGGAGTAGGCAATGTAAAGCACATCGATTTGTACTTTGTGCTGCCGATGGTCGAAATAGTACGAAATCATTTCCAACCAAGAAAAGCGTGCCATCAAAATGTGTTGGCTTTCGTGAGATGCAACCACAGATACCTGTCACAAACTGTTTTCTGGATATCTTTCATCATTTCTTTGATAGATTCCGGAGAGTGGTCATCGTTTGCTTGCTTTTGTGCCCAAATTTCGGAGCGAAGTTTGATAAATGAATCAGTTCTTTGATGCTTCAATCCGTCGATATTTGTGATTACTACTTGCTATTCTGAAGAATTGGCTTCGTATGCATCGAATAAAATCAATTTCACTTGTCGTTTACCGGGGATAACACTCCTGTTTTCGCCTGGAATCAGGCATCTGGAATTTAATTCAGCTTCAAAGATTGATGCAATGCAAAGAATATACTCAGGAGACCATACGCCACGATATAATATCTATCAGCATAACGAATGCATTTATTATGAATGATAGCAGCCTCTCCCTAGGCACATCTTTCTCCGATACAGTCCCGTTCCATGTTAAGTGACCAGCATGAGGGAGGTTTACTTCCGGATACAACAGTTTTCAGGTCGTTGATTTTGCACCGTCGGCACCAATGACAAGATTTGGATGGTGAGTTCGAATCTTGCCAGTCTTCAGATCCTCATCCGTCACAATCATGCTAAGCGGCTTGTTCTTCCCCAATTGAAGTGGTATATTGTTCGAGGATCTGAATATTGTGACTAAGGCGTTTGAGTATTATGGCCTGCATCAAGCCTGCGAGTGATCCACTGATCTACGAAATCGTGAATAGGTAAAGTGAGGAACTTTTTGAATGGTAATCACGACAATGATATCCAAGCTGTCCGAAGGCAGGCCTACATACCCAACGACGGAAAAGCTGGGGAGATTTATTCTGTCCCACACATGATTGGAGGTCGAAAGAGAAATAAATTTCGAAAACTGAATAAGACAGAGCAAAAGAACACTTCTGGCACAGCCTCATCATTCCTCAAGACCATTTAAATCCTGAAAATGCATAGACGAGGCCAGATGTACCTTGTAAACCACAATCCAGCTGTTGGAGATGATAGCAAACCAAACCAACGGTTACAGATGTGCTCAATCTCAACCCGTTGGTGATGAACAAATACATTGCTATCTCGTGACCTATAGTAATCGTGGCAATCAGATGAGTGAGCAGTATTTGAATTTATTCTTTTAAATTTGCCTGACAGCAATATGGATGCGTGGTGTTGGACTCGGAAGATTGTGATGGAATTCAAAGATTCCATACCACCCTGGGACAACACTTGCAATGAGTTTTTAATGCGATGGTCAGGGATATGTAAGAAGCTCGTCTTCCTCCTCGTCGTCGTATGTCAATTGCACAAAATATTCCGCATCATGACGATCTGCGAGCTCTCTCACAAAACCGTTGGTTGTGAACAGAACTTTGAAAATCCGTCCTCGACCCGAGAACGACTTTGCAGCAACAGATTTACACATAAGGGTAATCAGATCTTTGAAACTCTTCCTAAGCAACACATTTCCTTCACAGCTATCGAGTATCTCCAAACCATCCACAATGCAAAACTACAAAGCTGGTCCGACTGAAATTAGATCTGCTAACAACTGGATTGCAGCGGGTAGTGCGTCAGTATTCTCTTTCAATTCCTGGAAGCGCTCGGTGGAGAAATTGGGACACGTTCCATCTGTCTCAATATCATCCCCCATCATATTTATGGTTTGTGCAATCAAACTGTAGACAACTTTGAGAAGTTCTGTTGCTGGATTCCACGTCCTCCAATCTCTTGCATCATAATGAAAGAACTCGGGCACCACTAGAAGATGAGCAAGCCGAAGATTCTCCAAAATAAAAGCCGAGACGAGAGTGTTTGGGCCAGGCTGTTCTACGTCATGTGGAACTTCAATTCACAGAATTCCAGGACCGAAGGCAACACCCTTTGCATTTAGCCAGGAGCAGCTTGGCATCTTCTAGGAACTACGGTAAGAATTGCTCAAAGCCTTGGTCTACATTTAAGAGAACTCCGTCGAGTCTTCGCCACATTACAGATTATGGTCAGCGCTATTGTGGCAGGACACTCTTCTTTCATAATGTTTCGACAGACCTCCAACGATTCGGCCATCAGGAGTTTTGAGAGAACTGAAGAGTGCCTTTTCCTACTCGGAGCGTATGAATGTTCTCTATAATAAATTTCTCCGCTCTTTACCAGTTCAAAGATGTGCAGAATTGAATCTCCTATGATTCCCGAGAATGTCAAACAAATTGAGGAGGTTCTTCTCCTTAATAGGGAGCCGCTGGACGAGCTAACACGGAGTGGTAACATTCGCCAGCGGTGTGAACCATATATGCGCTTGAGCTACATGTCAGTTTCGCGGTTGTGTGGCTGTGACTTCTGACCCTCCGAAAAGTTCGTGGCTGTCAAATAATGGATGAGAGTCAGAAATTGGTAGTTGGAAAATACGATTCCTATCTGCTTAAGGGGACACAAGCATTCTTACAGCTTCATTCTTTAAGCTCCCTTGCCTCACGCTCATGGCCTATATTTCACAACGGACTCAGCTTGGCATTATCATTATGCCTACTTAATGCCAAAAAAACCATCAAATCTAGAGGTAAATAGCTCACTGGGTGATTTTCTCGATCTGCTCGCTGGAAGTAGCGGTGCTTCAGATCAAAGCATGGAATTGTCGAAACAACATCAATGAGCAGTTTCCGCACTCAGGGGACTATAAAATATCCAAAGCAAATCTATCGATTGAACTGCGGATGGATTTACCGAAAAGGTGCCAGGCATTGCTTCAGGATCTTTGAATGTACCTCTAGATCTTTATGTCCTGCATCTACTCCAACAGTGGCATCCATGATGTATAAGGCTAATCTCTGGGAGTTTAAGAACACCGGGTCCGCAGGATTTCATAAATTTTCAGAATGATAGCAACGATATTGATTCTTATCAACCAGTAGACAGTCTAGAAATTGCGAACTCAATAAACTTGTTTGAACCAATTATATGGGGTGAGCACGGATCCTCACTCTCGAGATTCTCAAGATTGCTAATCGTATAGACAGATTCCTCAATGGTTGAAAGTCAATTGTTTGGATTTGACTCTTCGCTAGAGAACTACATACCTTGAGGTCAATAAATCGTGAAATTTTTTGCATCGGGGCCAGCGGGTGTTGAAGCAACAGAATCTTCAGGTGATGGAGCTAGCAGAGGTTCCTAAATGGTATATGTTCTCCTCATCTTCAATCAATGGTACCATTTTAATTTTTCTACAAGAACATGTTATTATCCTTAGGTCTGTTAACCAGTGTGCCAACAATATAATCAGGTATCATTAGAAATCGCTATGTTATGCACATCATCGTTCATACAGTTACTATAAATGTGTCAAGGTTTTAGATTCTCGCATTCGAAATTTTGGTTCCTTAGGTAGTTAATGTAAATTTACTAGTGTCTATATACTTAATCTATCGGCTATTAATCTGTACATTCCTTCAGTTATCTGGAAATTCCCACGGATTCATCCATTTAGCGTTGATGTTCTTCTGTAAAGTCTCGGGGTATGAGTGTTTGAACGAGGCCTGCTGCCAGTTCTGACTTCCCTCATATTCGGTGGGCATTAAAGCATCCGAGATGACCTTTCCACCCTGGACAGGCGAACTAGTTCCGTGAGACATATAAGGAACCAATGGGAACCCTCGACACTCTTCGAAAAAGGTCTCGTCATGATTTGGTCGGCACCGTGTTGAAAACGCGAACATGACATCTTTGAAGTCATAGACATCAATATCAGGACCACAGAGAATCAAACGATGAATGGCATAGCCAGCTTTATGATAAAAGAGTAAGTCTCCAATTTTCTGTCTAAATGCTTTTGGAGTAGTGTTCATTTCCTTGAGTTTTGTGATGTCCACTTTTAATGCGACCCAGGTGACTTGGATTTCAAATGACGCAAATGCGTCCATGATTGGGAGACCGGCATTCTGGCAAAGTTGACGGATCTCCGCGGCTGCAAGTGAGCCAATAAGTGTGTGTGTCTCATCTGTGATACGACCACAATTCGAAACAGGTAGGATCGCGTTGTTTCGATAAGTGATCGCATTGACCTTGTAATTTGGCCATTCATGTGTGTCTCCAGGAAATACGTAACCATGCATTTCACCAAAGGGACCTTCTGAAGCAGTTTCTGTGATTGAAAGTGTTCCCTCGAAAACGATCTCAGCGTTGGCTGGAACGTATAGATCGTTAGTTTCACATTTGACAACATCATCTAAAGCAGATACGGTCATAGCCCCAATGTATCCAGAATCAGTGACGCCATCTGTAATGGGCATGCTAGCTGTCATACTAGCTGCTGGAGGCACGCCAAAAGCCAATACCCATGGTATATCCTTTCCAATCTTTTTCCATTGCTGATGAATCTTCCAGATGTGCTGAGGTTCAATTACCCATCCGGCAAGGTGGTTCTTATCATGGACCATGGCACGTGCAATTGACCAGTTCGTCCAAGATTTGTCCGGTGTCTGTACGACATGCATGCCGTAGGTCTGTACATATTTCCCTCCATCAGCCTGATGAAGCCAATACGATGATAGGTCTGTGGGAGCCATGATGGTGTTCGATGTGTTGTAGGGAATTATTTGATAATGTTTGTCGGCACTGATGAGGATCGGCACAACATCATATGGCATTGTTACAAATTACGACGACTTGTGCACACAACTACAATATTACAGCTCCGAAGCTTTCAAGGGCCCTGCTTTTGCATCCATAAAATCGTGCATATCAGAGACTCATTCCGATATACCCGGTTTTATAGCATAAATTGAAGATGGATCATATCTTTGATATGAAAGCTGTGGGAGTGATGATATGAGCTACTCTTTAGCCGCTGAGAAGAACAGAAGTGACGTTATCTCTTTCGGAAATGTAATGTGACATTCAAAACCAGTAAAGCTTAAAAAATCAATTGTCTTGAGTTGAAATTCTCTCAAACTCACGTATAGCATTATGTGGGATAGTAACAGTTCGGGGGACTTCGGCGCGACTCGGAGCGGCCCCCGTATAACTTCAAATGCTTTGAACTTTGTGCGTCATGATGAATTTCAGGATCATTATTTAAAGATGTCAGTCGTGAACGAAAATAGTACATCATTCATCAATCTTCTTTCTTGCACGCAACTAAGCTTTCTTCCCGTAGTCACCTTTTTTCCACATATACAATGTTCTTCCTGTCAGAAACAATGACGAATGAAGGTACCCACCCTCCGACTCCTCGCAGACGCATTATGGTAGCGATGACTGGTTCCACTGGTGCTTTTCTGGGAATCAAAGTCCTTGTGGCGCTACGACGTCTGAATGTCGAAACACACCTCGTCCTCACTCACTGGGCTTTAGCTACTATAAAATACGAGACGGATTATACGTCTGCAAATATTAAAGCTCTTGCTGATCATGTGTGGTCTAATCATGATCAAACCGCCCCAATTTCGAGTGGATCTTTCCATGCTGATGTTATGATTATTATTCCATGTAGCATGAAGACTTTGGCTGCCGTCAGTTACGGATATTGCGAAGATTTGATTTCCAGAGCTGCCGATGTCATGCTAATGGAAAGACGGAGGTTAGTCTTGGCAGTCAGAGAAATGCCGTTGAGCGAGATTCATTTGAGAAACATGATGACGATCACCCGAGCTGGAGCGATCATTTGCCCGCAGATGCCGGCATTCTATACAAGACCTAGTTAGATAGATGATCTAGTAGATCAAATGATAGGGCGTTGCTTGGATCTTTTCGGGCTTGACACCGAAGATTTTAAAAGATGGAACGGACCACCAATGACCGAGTAGGGGAAGTTTGCGGGTGGAGCCCAGATTCGGATTCGAATTTGGAAAGAAATATCTAAGGCTCTTTAATCATAGAGATACCAAAATCGGTAGCATTAGCAAATCAATCGAGCGGGCACGAAATGGATATAATAAGAACAATGGAGTAATAGATAAAGCTATGTGGTATTACGGAGTAGACAGATAGGATTCAATGGGTAGAGCAAGGGTTTGTTACTCTTACTCAAAACTGGGAAAGTTATAATAAATTCAGATCTACAACTGAAATATGATTTGAAGAGCTATAGCAGATGTAATACTTCGACTTCGCTTTCGCTTTCCGTCATTGTAGACGGCCTACTGTAGTAAAATATTGAAATACTAGAATTCCATAAGTTTCTATAGTTTCTGGTTATGTTCCCTTGAAAATCTAAAGTCATTCAATATATTCGGACCATAAGTAATGAATCATAACTATCTTGTAATGCAAGCCAATACTCGCCGCGACATAAGAAGTAAACGTCATAAATATACTGGTCGACGCCCAAGTCCATCTAATAATTCTCCCAAGAATGCAGGTGGTACCCCCTGGATGATCACGTCTGCGGTGATGATGGTATTGATCAATTGAAGGCTAACATTCGTGCCGTGTTGAGGAAGAGGAACACAGGGAAAAGTAAATATTTGCGCTGATAGGGAAATGGCTACACCAACGATCAATGTGATCCATCGGGTTTTGCACTGAGATAGGTAGTACAGGATAAGGTATTCTGCATCCATTTCAGTCATGGTAGAATTTTTTGTTCGTACCATAGTGGCAGAGCTTCGTGGTCATCTTGAACCATAGTCCCAGCATTTACTGGGTCTTCGTTTGACATTGAGAAATTACCGGTAACGCTGATTCTCAAGATAAAGCCTTTGACAGAATTTGAAATTGAACAGTTCTACGATACATGTTGCTTCTTAGAAGATAATGGTACGAGTAAAGCAATTTGGTAATACCAGTATGGTAGCTGGAGACCTCAGCTTGAGGAAAACCCAATCACCCCACGTTTATTAATGCGGCGGTGCAGTTGTGGCTTGAAAAATTGCCAGGAACCTTGGAAACCCGTGGACTCCATCTCAAACCGAGGCTCTTTCGGCCCTTGTAAAAAGCTTCATTAACCTGGATTGACCTACATGGTATGCGCAGCCAATGAAAAAGTCGGAACGGGAGAGAAACCGACTTTCTTCGTTATCTAGGTATTCATACTAGCCCTTTCCACGCTGCCTCAAGCACATACCGGTATCGTATCAATCATTAACCATGGTCCATGGTCCATGGTCCATGGGATCTGGTACGGGACGCCCGACGTATGACTGCAACCTTATGATGATTCCAAGGTTGCACTGCAGACATGAAATGAAGAATGGCAGTTGGCGTAGAAAAGCCAAGGGCTTCACCTACTACGAGGTATCATATGAAATGTTTTTCGCCTTCCAAGGTTATTCTCGACTCGAGCCTCATTAGAAATCCCATTTTACAAATGGCATGTCACCCCTCCTAAAATTTGCGGGGGGAGGGGATTTCTCTTCCTTGTCATTCACTCTTGCCCATGTCGATGTCGATGTCTCATTAACCTTAGTGGGGGGCACGGACGAACTGTATTGGTGTAACCTTACCAGTAACTAACCGTTAGTTGGCTGGGTCTTCGAATTCTTGCTCGCTGACAATATTCTTGATTGAGAGATAAAAATATTTTCTTCAATTTTCTTCCCTAATTATCATCATTGCTGTCATGTCTTCTTCTGGTATTGAAGCACCCCATCCATTTAATCATGAAAACATTGCTTCATGTAGACAACCTACAAATGATGGGTATCTGAAAGAGAAGCATGAAGAAGAAGTACTTGATACCTTCTCTCCACCATATCATGACGAAACCATATCCATCAACCAGACGCATGATTCTACCCATCGGCAATTAAGACCAAGACATATTCAATTGATTGGCATCGGAGGGACAATTGGAACTGCTCTTTATGTTCAAATTGGCCATGGGTTGATAAATGGAGGACCGGGAAGTTTATTCTTGGCCTTCACTATTTGGTATGTATAGGTACTTTCTTCTAGACCATTGTCGAATTTGAAGACACGGAATTGACATCTGATGTATTGAAATGTTAGGTGCACTTTCATTTTGGCGGTCACAAATGTAAGTAGCCACTCTCGGTCATTATTCACCCTTCTAATTGTGAGAACTTTATTAGTGTATGGCAGAAATGGTAACTTATCTACCGATTTCATCTCCATTCATACGATTCGCTGGCCGGTATGTCGATGAAGCATTCGGAGTTGCCGCAGGATACAACTTCTTTATCTTTGAAGCTGCTCTCGTTCCATTCGAAATTGTAGCTTGCAACATCATCATTCATTATTGGAGTGATGCAGTTCCTGCTGGTGGAATTATTGCTATTGTGATAGTTCTTTATGGGTATGCTACTTTGAATTCTCTTCTGCTCAAACTATTGACCACCCCTATTATAGTTTTATCAATCTATTTGCTGTCAGATGGTATGGAGAATCGGAATTTTACCTCGCAATGGGGAAAGTTCTCTTGATTGTTGGTCTGATCATATTCACTTTCATCACGATGCTGGGTGTAAATCCACTTCATGATCGATTCGGGTTCCGATTTTGGTCAAATCCAGGAGCTTTCACCGAACTTTATAAAACGGGATCTCTTGGTCGCTTCCTAGGATTCTTGCAATGTCTCATTCAAGCCTCATTCACCATAGCCGGTCCAGATTATGTCTCAATGGCAGCCGGTGAAGCCCAAAATCCTAGAGTTGTTATGCCTAGAGCATTTAATGGGGTCTTCTATCGGCTTACCGCATTTTTTGTTCTGGGAAGTTTGGCTGTGGGAATCTTGGTTCCATACAATGACCAAGAACTCAAAGATGCATTTACAAATGGTCTACCAGGAGCAGCAGCTAGTCCTTATGTAGTCGCCATGAATCGACTTCAAATCAGAATTCTCCCGGATATCGTTAACGCCATGGTTCTTGGAGCTGCTTTCTCGGCGGGTAACTCTTATGTTTATTGTGCATCAAGATCACTTTTCGGTCTTGCGCTTGAAGGAAAAGCTCCCGAATTTCTCACCAAGTGCACAAAGGAAGGCGTTCCAATTTATTGTGTTTGTGCTACATTGGCCGTTGCATTATTGAGCTTTTTGCAAGTATCGAACAATGCAGCGGTAGTACTTCAATGGTTTGTTAATTTGGTTACTGCAAGTCAATTGATTAATTTCAGCGTTATGGCTTATACCTTTATATGTGTAAGTGAACCTGTTGAATTTTCAGAGTGGCTATGCGGACAATACTGACTTGATGTAGTGGAAGAGAGCATGTGATGCGCAAGGACTTGATAGAAATACTTTACCACATACAAGTTTTTGGCAACCATTCAGTGCATATTATGCATTGACAGGATGTTTTATCATGACTTTTGTCGGTGGATATACAGTTTTCTTACCTGGTATGTCGAATTTTTACCCACTCTCTGACATCGTCTCCCCCGGCATGTTACGAATTCTTTTGGCCTCTTGGATAGAAAGAACTAACTTTGTGACAGGTGCGTGGGATGTTCCAACTTTCCTCTTCTCCTACGCAATGGTTGGCGTCTTTCCAATTGTTTTTGTCGGATGGAAAATTGTAAAGAAAACAAAATGGTTAAAACCACATGAGGTGATATTGAGAAATCAGGAGGTGGAAGAGATTGAAGAGTATACGAGAAATTACGTTGAAAGGCCTCCGAGGACAAGGTGGCATGCTTATGTGGACAAAATCTTTAGTTAGTGTCAGGTGAAATAGGAGGGCAAAGAGTCCATAATGGCCAATAAGGTTTCGGCCGGGTTTAATTGTGATGATTAAATTTTGCGACACCGATTTGCTTCTCAGACGATGGCCAAAGATAGGATCGGTACAACAAATTTATGAAGTTTTGAACCACATGTGGTTGAGCCAAAATGTTTGTGCGGGGCACTGGATTTTCCGTTCCGGGGTCTTCTAGCCTGCCTGAACGCGTAGTGGCGAGCGTCAAACACAATTATTCAACCTCCAACCATTTTTGCCGTCCTTGACGTTACTCTCTGCAAACAATTCGTGGAATCAATGATTGGTAAAGCTGAATGTATTTGTGCCGCAATAACAAGATACTTTGGGGAAATGGTAAGTGTGCGAGATGGAACTCAGATCTTGACGACGAATCTTCGAGCATGAACAAACAAGAATATACGCAATGACGATGATTGGGCACGCAACGGTGGAGTACTGTATCAAAGACTTTGGTGGTAACACGTTGAATATCTGGTTTCAGGAGGCTGGGAAGGGTAGGGTGTAGTGATGGTGAATGGGAGATAATACCAAGGCAAGGGGAATTTCTGCTTATAACACCCCGGAAGGTGGATGTCTCAAAGCATTAATCGATTTCCAGAGTGGTTTTGCGCTCATGTGCGTTGTCGCTCATGGAACAATATCAGGCAAGAATTTATGGCATTATTCTGCCAGTCGAACTGGTAGCTGCCGAAGCTTTTACGTGCTCGACAATTAACGTCGAGTTAGATCTCAAAATGCTCAAGTTGGCCGCAGGCACGCGAATACCAAGAGCGGTTACTATTGAGTTCTCTTCCAAGAAAACTCTGCTGGAGATGATAGATTCGGTGAACGGAGATTTAATGATGTACGGATATATGGAAACAATCATGATGGAACTTTCGTTTTCTGGGTGAAATTATTATCCTCAGATCAATTTCGTGGCGGACAAATAGTCTCGCAGCACAATTTCTTCCCATTGCCGCGTCTTTCTTGCGCCCTCTCACCACCAAAACTTTACCAAAGTTGGATGTTCATTCCCTGATGACCGTGTGTAGTATTGGCGTCGAGTTTCTTTTTGATACGACATGAGTAGGACTACCGCACATGTGTTGCCCCTTCTCCCGAGCCCACGCTTCAGATACTCAATCCATACAGGATTATGCTGTTTTTGCTAGTTGTTCCCACGCGATATTGATTATAACCTTTTTACCTTGAAAGGCTATCAGCTCAGAGAAACACATGTCGTTGTCGTGTTCATGTTACAGAATGCTTTGAAACCAGTCCACTTTCGATACCTTGTTTTCAGATTAAACTTTACCACCACGAGATTTTGATCATAAATGCCAATATACTATTCAACGACGCACAATATTAAAATTCGAAACTGCGCTGTCTAAGTTATAAATTGCCGTAATTCTTTGTTTGTCATTATCCAATCCCAATCAAGTATCTGGTAAAACGTTCCAGATCTCTCCCAGTCTCCTGTTTTCTGGTTTCATTGTTCTTCACATCATTACTAATCAAAACAATCGATTTTCTTGGAATCTCGCCATCTTTCATTGAATTTTCAGGCTCTTCGAATATTCTCAAAACAAACCGGAATAAAAGGTGCAATTTTGCTCGTGTGGTCTGCGGTATTTATGATCTGACACCTCCTTGTTAGATCACATCGTCGTTGAAGACGTCTCTTTCAACCATTCTAAACACCTGTTGAGGTCTGAATCTGGTATCGGCCTAGCCAATCATGAGAATTTATCATCCTTTGTCCTCGTGCTATATGCATGCAGGTGATGGAAGTCCTCTTCAATTAATCTAGATTGTATACCGTTGAGTTATTTCATCATTCATAATCCTACAGATACGTTTGATTAATATTTACGTACTTGAATTTATCTTCATCCATCGTATCTTTTATTCTTCGATTAATTTCAAGTGGAAAGGAACCATGAGTCCAATAATCCAATTATTCAGACGCAAATCTCCTCTTCAAGAGAAACTTGCACAAATAGTGAAGTTACCACACTCAGTCCTTGTTACCATTCCCGCGGGAACGCCACCTCCAGGGGTTCAATCCTTTTCTGAAAACCCAGAGACCTTACAACCGGTCATTATCGCAGTGTGTAGTCTCTTCTTTGCTCTTATGTTAATATGTTGTGGGATTCGTACGTGGACAAAATTTATGATTATGCGACCTGTGAAACTGCGCTGGAACGATTGTAAGTAACATATTTCATCTTCTACCACCAGCCAGATCGCTGCGAACTTGACTTGTCAATATTTTTATTATATTTTGGAATACTAATCAAAAGCTTTAGTGACCTGGCTTCTTGCCTTGGTATGTGCTGATTCTGTCATGAAGGTCAAGTTTCTTACTCATCTGTAGCTCGCCTCCATAAACTCTTATGTAATTACCATGATATGTAGGTTGTTTCATCTCTGCTTATTAATGTATACTCAACTAACAAAAGGCATAGCTGTCACTGGTCTGGGAACTGTAGGATTGCATACATGGGATTATTCACTCGCTAGGTTGTTCACCAATTACAACGGAGTTGTGCGTCTTCTTGGAGAGATCTTGATTTATTCCTAACATAGAACAGGGATTCATTGTACCTACCTGGAATACCCCTTTGGCTTTCGGGCTCGTAAAGCTTACGATTTGGCTCACCTATATCGAAATATTTACCTCTATGCGTTGGGTTAGAATTTGTTGTTATATTGGTGCCGCCATAACCTCTCTTTGGTATTTTCCAGTGGCCATTGCTACACTTGTTTGGACAACCCCGCCGCATGGCGAGAACTTCGTATACAGCTTAATCTCGGATGGAATATTCACCACTCAGAAATTGACTATTCCTATAGCTGCTGTTGGCTTAGCACTTGACGTTTTCCTGTTTGTTATACCATTACTCGCAGTAAGCAAATTACATATGGCAACAAAAAAGAAGTTGGGAGTAGGATTGATATTTGCTACTGGAGCATTGTGAGTTTCATTTTAATAGGAAGACCGAAGGCTCGTCGATGGGAATACTAACATAAGAAAATAGAGCCATTGTGGCTTCAATCTTGAGTATCATTTACCGCGTTCGACTCAATCAGGTATCTGGATTGGATAACACATGGGCTTTAGTACCCGTATTTATCTTGACGTAAGAATCACAAAAGGTGAATATCATATTTGCTAACTTCATTTTACAGCCTCGCAGAATTGTTTATCGGCATGATTATTGCTTGTACTTGGCACATGTCAAAATTCTTCCGTACATATGACCGGCAGTTTGGAAAATTGGGCTCGAAAATTGCATTTATTTTATGCTTCAGATGCGTGAGGAGGTCCAAGGGAAGAAAAGAATCCGAGAAATCCAGTAGAGGCGGTGAGGGTTCCGAAACAAACGTGGAATTAGTCAACACAGAACGGCGTAAGAAGCAACCTAAACTTTATCCTAATCTTGACATGACGAATTTCAATGCAACTATACTTGAGGAAGATTCAAATGAAGATAAAGAGCTTGAGAATACGAATCGAGCAGCAAATCATTGATTCCATGAGAATCAAGATACCAAGAGAGGTCAAATGGTTGTACAATTTGGGGAGCTCGGGGTGATTATCATATGTAATCCTTTGGTCAGCGACCACAGCAGTCTAAAGTAATGTTTCAATTCCGAAAGGCTCATGGTACACATTCAGCTTGGTTCATGAAATGTTTCGTTTCTTCTAAAATTGTTTCCCTATACATAATACTAACAAATTATCATGAAATTGGTATGTGGTTCTTGAAAGATTTTTACCGCTAACAAGAAATCCGAGTATAAAATGTGTTTTCCTTGAAATTTTACGATTCAGTATCAGGAATTGAATTTTCCTTGTAGATCTTGATATTGATAATATAGGATATGCACAATAATCTATACCTTCTCGTCCTTCGTATATATCACGAGCACGTCTATATTCATACAATTTACCTTCCATCACCATGATATTCTCGGTCTAACCAAAAGTTTCTTATTGGATTAGAAAAAGTGTTAAGGAATATCAATCACGAATTTTTACCTAGTCTTTAATTATTTTGGGAAAATTACAATATTAAAAAAAAAAAATTCAGAATTCAATTTATTTATTTTATTTATTTATTTTATTTATTTATTTTATTTATTTATTTTATTTATTTATTTTATTTATTTATTTTTAATTTATATTCAGAGGGCAAGCCGCAGGGGCTCGCCACAACCTAACTATTATTCTACGAACTTTTTTGGTGGTCAGCATCGGTAGTGACCCTAACCCTAAGGGAGGTGGTGACCCAGCCAAAAAGTCACCAATTGGTCACCACCCTTTCTGGCTTCAATTCAAAGCTTTTCGAAAATTTGAAAAAAAGAAATAAATAGAGATTCAATTGAATTATTTATGTATGAAATTACTTGTTCGATATCTTTTGAATTGATGTTTCGAGATCGAATTGAAATAATCCTAAGTTTGATAAGGTTGAAGAAAAGCTATGGTAATTTTCGAAAATAGAGTAGTAATAATCCACGAAAAACTATTAAAACTTTTCAATTGGTTATTACTTCTTCTGGTATTAATTTAAAGCTTTTCAAAAATCTAAAAAAAAGAAATGAATAGAGATTCAATTGAATTATATTTATTTAAAGAAATATTTCAGATATTTGTTATATAAGAGCTTATATATTGAATTGAAATAATTCTAATTTTGAAGGGATTATTAAAGTTGAAAAAAGCTATAGTAATTTTCGAAAGCAGGGGGGAGTGGTGACCAGCTAAAAAAGTAATAGGGGGGAGTGGTGATCAGCAAAAAGTGATGTAGGGTAGTTGAATCACATGATCAATACTAATACTAATAATACTAATAACGTAGTTTATTAGCATGTGGCCCATATCAGCATGTGGCCCACTTTCACCTCAATTTATACCTTTCTCTTTTAATATACGTTTTGTTAACAATCTACTATGAATTCGAATAATCAAGAAGCCTGTATATTCCTTGCTATCAAAGCTATTCAGAAAGACAAAAAACAAAGTATTCGAAAGATTGTTAATATATATAATATCCTATATATAATTATCAGAAATAGACAGCAAGTTACGCATAATCTATAGAGTAATATGGAGAATGTATTATGTATATAATTATCACCTTAAAGCAAAAGGCTTGGAAGAGGGAGTTTTGATTGATTGATTGATTTAATTAACGTCCTTTTCTCAGTCCAAGACTATTTAGGATGGCTAGGCTTTAAGAACCTAATAACTGCTAGTGGGTATCTAAAGTAGATATATTCAATTTGGGGGAGTAAAAACGAATACTGGGGTGCTATACCCGATCTCTATTCGGAGTGCAAATAGAGATTAAATAGTCTTTATTCTCTAAGACATTTCCTTTCTTACTTTTCCTCTACCCCTAATCCAATTAAAGTATCCCAATATCTAATTTCTCTTTTTAAAATCCTAAATCCAATTTACTATCCTTCCCTTTCTATAAAAGGCAAGAATTATCCCCTCCCAAGTTACCTTCAATATAATAAAGAGTCCTTTTACTAATGAGGTAGCAGAAGAAGGCACCACTCTTCTCTGTCTTTATCTCTTTTAAACTAGCCCCTTGTATATCTTTATAAACTTGATATCCTCTAGCTCTTATTAAATGTGTATAATCGAAACTGTTGAAAATAGTAGGGCAGGGCCGAATCCTAAGCCCTATTGCCCACACACAAATCAATTCGGAAAATTCGAAAATTCGAAAATTAAAAGAAAAACATTGTATTGTATTAATGCCCAGAGTATGATATTAATTTGAAGGCGATAGTATTTTCTATATTGTATCATCATAATATTCAAGTAGTTGAAAGCCAAAGGGTATAAAAAAGGGTTGTAGTATAAATAGAGTGATAGCAAGCTTTATATCGAAAAGACTTTTTTAAAAGAAGAGACTTATTGTATATTATATTTCTGTATTTGAAATAGTAATCGATAATAGATGTTGAATCTAATTGGGGTTTCTGTAATCTTCGTATCCATGTTTAAAGCTAATATTCAACTTTTTGTAGATATTGTTATTATAAAATCATAATATAATCCTTCGTTATATCTCTAAACCTCTCTCCTTCCAATTCTTTCAATTCCATCTGCGACTCAATCTTAGCTCTGCAGACTCTCAAGAGAGAGCTGGAGGTTTGTAGGATGCACCGCGTATAGGTGTTGAGTCTTCGCATCCCAAGAGGGAGTTTTGTAGTAGTGTGCATATGCTATATATATACTATATATGTGATTTCCAATATCCCTCTTATAATAGGAATCTATTGATTAATTAATTGATTGATTGATTGATTTTATTAACGTCCTTTTTCAGTCCATGACTATTGTTACAACGGATTAGTAACAGGCTGTAGAATCACTGACTTATAGGCTATAATGATATTATAGGCCTCAGTGATTCAGTTGCAGTATACCGGGGGATACTGAGCACCCAAGGAAAGCCTTAGGTATGTATATAGTATTAGTTATAGAATACTTTAAGAATCTAGAACAAAATTCCCAGAATAATAAGTTTCAGGAAAAACAGAATATAATAAGTAAAAAGGCTTTACTAAGATTAATAATATCCCAGGTGTCACGGGTTCAATACGTAGCTATGTGGATGCCTTAGGCATCCGCCCTCCATATAGTCGGCGTCTCTTCGTCTTCTTTTTTACTTCTTGTAGAATATCATATATCTTACCTAGTACCTATCTCCTGCACCGTGATAGTATATTCTACCTTACAAAAGAGTCTTGTTACAACAAAAGCAATCCGACTTTGAAAAGAAATTCTTTATTTCTGTTTTCATCTGCTTAAGACAGGTCTTTCTATAGTTTTTACGATCTTTTGTGCCTTTTGCGCCTTTTGTGTCTTTTCGTTTTTGTCTTTATCTTTGTTTTTGTCTTTGTTTTTGTTTCGTCCTCTTTTCCTATTATGGCTGACACACCGAATACTTCGAGCACTAGCTCACCACCACTTGTTTTGTTTGAAACACTTAGAACTGAAATCAACAATGCTTTTAATCAATAATAGTGAATTGCAGGAAAACTATTTAGTCTCCAGGATCATGAATTTTACAATCTCTTTCCTTTATTGATATTAATATAAGATTAGTAGGATTACCTTAATTATCTATATAATATTATTAATTACATACTCGATTTATTTTTTATTACTCAACAAGCACTTGAACAAGATTTGGCTACAAAGTATTTTCTTAAGATTGCTGTAGAAAATCAATTAAACATTCAATTTTAACTAACTCAATTGCTACAATTTCAACTTACACAAAATCCATCAGGCGCTTCTGCCCAAGGTAAGGCTGGCCGATAATAAACTTCGAAGAACCCTGAGCCCCTTCGAGGGGAGAAGACAGGATTGATATCTCGACAAAAGGAATACACTGCCTGAAAGCAAGGCTTACAAATCTGCTGGATAATCGATCCGACTATTTTCGATACAGAAAGAAAGAAACTTTTGTATTTAGCCTCTCTTATTGATGGCTGTGTACGTCAAGAGAGATTGATCAATATAAATGATATTATCAATAGAATCTCGATTTATACTACTAACAACTCCTTTTTTAACAAGCTTGATAGGCTTTATATTTCAATTGATATGGTGCGCGAAATCTTAATCTGATTTAATAAACTCAAGATAACCGACAAGATATCTTTTTTGGTTTTTTATATCCAATTAGAATATCTTGATACAACATATCACAAGCAATCATACGAAATGGTTGCAGTAATGAAAATAAAGGTTTTTTATAATCTTCAATGATTATTTATGCAAGATTCCAATTCTTGTTCTCTTATTAATATTAAGGGTTGAAAACAGAAGTTTGAAGTTTGAAACCAAAATCTACAAGAGAATGAGCACCTTTTGGAACCAAAAATGAACTCGAGCTTTACATATCTCTATACATCCCCGACTAATACATCATCCGCCGTACCAGCATCATCTGAACCTATAGATCTCGATACTTTCAAAACACAAGATCAACAACGAGACGAGGAATGTCGACTTGGTTTCTGTCATTATTATAAGAAACCTGGTTATTCGGTATGGGATTGTAATGTCAAGAAACAAGCGGATATACAATGAGCGGCTAGAGGAAGCTTCGGATTCGCAGGTTCCTGTGGAGGTTTCGGCGGCTGTGGCTCGTATCGAGGTGTTTCCATCGGTCGAGGCAATCAATATTCTAATCAATATTCTAATCAATATTCTAACAATCGGGGAGGATCTTATAATCGAAACGATTTTTAGGAATACGGTTCTTGGGGTAATTATAGCAATAACAACAATAATCAAAATAACCCCAGACCTTATTAGCAACTTAATATATTCCATGACTATATCGAAAGTGATTCTTTATTATCCTTTAAAAGTATCTCCAATATATCCACGCAGAACACGGCCCCGCTACCTGTTTAACCCAGCCCGTACAATCTCTCGGGAAATATATCACCTTCGTAATAAATCACCCGCGGAGGTTATTTGGGAATAAGGAG